TTTTTTTTGGTTGTCAAATTGACCTCTTAGATTATGCGCAAAATATTCACATTTATCTATTATTTCATCTTTCATTATATTTTTTGCACTTATGCACTGATCTTTGTCAACTTTCTGATTTTACTTATGAAAAGGCTAAAATCAGATTCAGTCACATATATTCACTGCTTTTTGTTTGTACTACTACTCATTTTGAAATCAATGCAATGATCAAATACATTTAAATGAAATTTTTTATTTCCGTCAAATATTCCTCAAAAAATAAGAAAAACAGATACTTTTTAAATCAAATGTATCAGTTCCTGTAATTGATCATTCAGTGTAAAACTAGTTCGGTGTACAATTTTCCAACGCTTTCAATAAAGGAAAATGACAAGTTGAATAATCGTAGAAAGAAATTGAGAAAAAAAACATGAGCAATTTTAGCATTCCTGTACAAAATTAGAAAATTTCGCAGTTTGATACTTTACAAGCGTGTATTGAGGGTGAACTTGACTTGACTTGACTTGACTTGACTTGACTTGACTTGCCTTGACTTGACTTGACTTGATTTGATTATTGAATTTTTTAGAATGAATGACGTAAGCACTTGAACTGTTTATTACTGATACAACAAATTCTCTACTCAACTTTTTTCTAAATTTTAAATATTTTGCAAGAAAACGTAAAAAGTTTAACAATGATTCAATTTTTTTTTCATCGAACTAGCATATGAAATCACAAAAATAATGTTACAAATCTAAACAAATATTCTTCAATACCTTCTAGAAGTTATTTGATCTGTTATTGTTTAACTGAGACAACTACTTTTAACTGCTTGTTTAATTTAATTAGACTAATCCAACGACTAAATTAAACTAAACTTTTTTTTAAATTCGCAATCAATGCTTAAAAGCGATCGAAACGAGATATTTATTCAATACTCTTTGAGAAAAAAACTCAAAATTTGGATAAAAGTCCAGCAAACGCAAATTGCTCGCTGTAAGTTTGCTTAACGAAAACTGAAGTGGAAAATTAAGTTGAGTGCAAGAATCGAACACTTTATGATTACTGCTGGATGTAAAACCTGCATCCTTATCGGTAAAATAGCTAATCATTTTTGAAAATTTTTGTTCGACTAGAAAGGTCCGATAGCTTTAACCAATAACATATATTTATGATTTTTGTAAAATTTGAACATACGTCTGCTTTATAATGTATAGCTGTGCAAAAACAAAAAAAAATATTTCAGTGGTTTAGAGAGGTTTTAAGTATTAGTCAATTCAATTGATTTCGTGCTAATATAATGTCAAATGATATCAAATGCAATTTACGAGTCAATTATCAGTTAATTAACTTTGTAAAAAGAAAACAAGTTAAATATTAATGAAAGTTTACCGAGTTACTATAATTCTTAATCACTACAGTTTATTTAAAAAAAAAAAATTAATATCAGAATTACATAACTTGTTGGAAAATATCAGATACATTTTATTGACAATATGAAAGGATATGAAAGATGTAAGATTTGATCATTTGTTCATTTTAAAAATCATCATTATTATTGAATTTTCCTGATAAGAATTATTTTCATTGTGAATATTTGTTTTTAAATTTTCTATAAAGAATAAATATATATGAAACAATAGAAAAAAAAAATTACCAGTCTGATCATATCGAATAGTTAAAAATAAACCGGTTAAGACAGGTGAACTGGCGGTTGTGTTTTAAGGAAAGTGTCTCAATGGTCTCTCAACCAATACTCAATATCCTACCAACATTTGTTACGATGAACAGATTGGCCTCAATTCATTTAGCTTTTCTTTTTCTTAATTTTCATTTTTCAACCAAGCAATGTTTTTTCTTAACTACACATGTCTTTACAAAAATGTATGCTTTCAATTGAAGCTATTATTGAAAGATTTTACTTACGCTACTTTTGATGCGATATTTGTTTTAAAATCTTAATAATAAGCTAGCAAGTAAATAAATATAGACTACTAATTTTCAGTGATTCAGTGAAACTTTTCCACTAACTATATAATTTTTTATTTTCTATGGAAGTCAAAAGTGTAGTCTTTTTTTTTTGATATGAATATAAATCTTAAACTAATAAAAGTAAAAAAAATAATAATATTATTAATATTAATATTGATAATATTAATAATAGTTAACAATAGTTAATAATAGGTAATTAATAATAATAATAATAAAATAATAATAATATTAATAATAGTTAATAATAATAATAATATTTCACTTGCTTAGATAAAAAATGAAGGGGAATACAAGTATAATTTGAAAAAATAGTGATAAAATATAAGAGAATAATTGTTGGAAAACATACGGATTATCAATATCAGTTTGAATTTTGTAATTAATGTTTGATATTGATAAAATTCATCGAATATTTTTGAGGGAAGAGACGTGGCTGAAACGCAAAAATTTGATGAAGAAAGAAACTTCTCAAGATAATCATCTATCACCCATTAACATAGCCAATGATTCCGTAAGTAAAACAAAGTAAGTTATATTTATTATTTGTAAAGTCACTTCAATTGTTTTGTAGCATACTATTTGACTGAAAATCGAGGAAATGATGAATACTTATTAACCAAATGAGAAAAGCAGCAATTTCTTGTTACTTTTTATTCACCCTTTTACTTTTGACTGCATTAAAATTTATTGAGTTTGAGTTCAATTTATTTGTGCTAGATTGTCATGAAAGCTTCTGATCAAAGCAAATAATTTTTAAAGTGAATTAAAAAGTAGAATTTAAATTGTACAAGACTGATATTACAGTATTTGTTTTGTTAAAATTGATCTCAGTTATGGATATATAGGGTAAATGCAACTGAAGATGAACGTGAGATGCATCGAGATAGTATGCGTAGAAATAGCAGTCGACATGGAAGTATTGCTATTGGCGTTGACAACGAAGGTTTAATCTTTCGTTACGATTACTCTAAGTCATAATTGATAAGTTTTGTGTAATATTTGATTATATACAAATAATGAAACGAAATTGCAGATGATTCTCGTCGCTTTTCACATTTGTGGGATTCGTTTAAAGGAAGAAAAAGCATTGTTGGAAACAATTTGGCTCTATTCGAAGAGCCAAGTGCGCTTTTTATTAATTCCTATCTTAAAGGTTATACTACGCCAGGTCCACTCGAACGTGAAGAAAGCAAGCATGCTAAGGCAATTCAATTTCCGCATTGCTTTCATGACTAATTAATTTTGCTTAAATATCAAAACTTTTTATAAATTTTACCAATTTAATTATTTTGAGAAATATTTGAATTGAACTTATGTTTGAATTTAAATCAAAGTTCTTTGAAATGGAATTTATATGTAGTAGACTAAGCCTTATTTCTTACGTTCGTGTTATTAACTGCAAATATTAGCTTTGAAACACTGACTAATTTTCTAATTTATTTAACACAAACACACACAATGTGGTAAGCTATTTACTATATAAGAAATTAGTTCTGCATGTCAACTTGTGCTCATTTTCAGGCACAACTTGGAGTTATGCTCGGTGTTTATTTGCCAACAATCCAACATATTCTTGGTGTAACAATGTTTATACGTCTTTTTTGGATGGTGGGCATTGCTGGTGTAATTCAAACTTTTCTTCTACTCTTCATCTGCTGCCTTTGTGTTAGTACTCATTTGTTAAAAAATACTGTTACATATTCAAAAAAAGGACAAAGATAAAATCTGATCAGTCTACTCTCAACTTTTAAGTCTTAATATTTTTACATCAAATAGAACTGTAAAAATTTCTACGTACAATGTAATTTTTTTCCATCACTTGCAATTTTTATGAATTTTGTCAGTAATTTATTTCTCTCAAATCTTTATCAGTAATAGAAAAGAAAAAGAAATTATTTAATATTGCTATTCAAGATGAAATAAAATTAAATCTATTCTGACATAAATTACTGACAAAATTCATAAAAATTTCGAGAGTAGACTGATCAGATTTTATTTTTATCCTTTTTTCTCTATTAAATAATTTTTTTTTATTAAATAAAAAAAATTGATAGTAATGTTAGAATGAGAAAAAGATTTTAGACATTCTTAACCAGCATAAGCGTATCAGCAATAGCAACAAATGGTGTAGTAGAAAGTGGGGGTGCATATTTCATGATATCAAGAAATCTCGGTCCTGAATTTGGTTCAGCTGTTGGTATATTATTTTACTTAGCTAATACTGTTGCAGCTGCAATGTATCTCGTTGGTGGTGTTGAAATATTATTGGTAATTCGTTGTGGATCATTTTTCAATAGAAATTTTTTATCATTTATACAAATTATATTTTCTGTTTGCTACTTTTATTTCATTAAATTTTTAAAACTTTACTATCTAAAAATTTTTTAAATAGCATTTAAATCAGTACCCAAATGTTTTCTTGATAGATAAGTTAATTTTGTTAAAATTTCCATTACATTTCAGCTTTACATATTTCCTGGTCTAACAATTGGTGGTACAAGTGTCCATTCTGATACAGGTCATTTTGCAAAGTTCATGTTAAAAAAACATTCTATTGCATATATATTAAAGCATTTTCTTTTTAGGAGTAATGGGTTGGATGTCTCATAATCTACGATTTTATTCTACTATTTTGCTACTTCTAGAATTTGCAATTGTTGCTATGGGTGTCAAATTCGTACAGCTTTTTGCTCCTGTATCTTACATTTTACCCTTCTATTTTCATAAAAGTGAAATTTATCATAATTATAAAAATCTAATAATTACACTTTAATTTATCACTAATTGCAGATATCATTGTTCTGTGTTATTTTATCAATTCTTGCTTGCTATGCTGGCGGTATTGAGAAAACGATCACATCATCTAATGCACAACAGTACTTTATTTGCTTTTTTTCACTCGATTACAAATATTCATTTGTTACTTATTAAAGTGAAAGTAAACGTGAATATTTACAGTATATTTTAAGATCAAGTTTCCATTGCAACCTCATTTTGTTCTGATAGATGAGTCAGTAAGATGGAATTGGTTATACACTTTACTATTAGACACAAATGACAACTTTCATTGTGTTTTTGAATGTGATACCATAACAAAAGGAGATAAATATTGACTTATGAATAGATTAGAGAGATTTTTTTCGCATCTAATAATTATTAACCAAATTTTGTGCTTGACTGATATATAAATTGATAAGATGATTTAGCGTGTGCTTTCTGGGAGAGCATTTGCTACAAGCAAGAGTTGTGCTACCGCCAGATGCTCCACTTTCAGATATTTGTAACTACTGTAATGCTTCTACACCGTTAGTTTAATGTTTACTTCTTTGTCTTATCAAGTTTTTACAGGATTAAAATTTAAAAGCAATTCTTAAGAAGTCTTGATCGATAAATTTTTATTATCAAAAAATTGCCAGCATTATTTTAAGTATAAATTATATCACTTATTGAAAATTATTTATAAAATTGCATTTTTGTAGTGGACCAATGCAAGAACATTTTTGTCCGAATGGTAAATGCACAGAATTGTTTGAAAAAAATGAATTACGTTGCGTAAATGGCTTTCCAGGATTTGGCAGTAATGCTTTCATTGGTAAATAACTGAAATGTTTTAAATCAAAATACTAAAAAATAATTTTCATACTTTCAATACATTTTTAGTTGTTTCTTATTCGAAAATAATCAGTAAATAGTATCAACTGAAAATGCAGATAATTTGGGACCAAATTATGTGGGCAAGGATGAATACCTAAAAGGTAAACAAGCAGAGCGAAGTACTGAAGTATTTCAAGATGTGAAAACGACATTTTTCATGCTACTTGCCATTTATTTTCCAGCTGTGACAGGCATTTTAACTGGAGCTAATATGAGCGGTTTGTTTCTATTCTCGTTATAATTGTTAAATGCAGTCTTTTCTGTGTATTATGTCAATTGAGAATTTAGAAAGCATTTTATCTAGCACGTTTATTTTGTAATTTTTAGCAAAGGTCATGCCAATAAAAAAATAATGCAAATAATTACATTTACAGGCGATTTAAAGAATGCTAATATTTCGATACCAGCTGGTACCATAGCTGCGCAGTTGACAACTTCATTTATTTACTTCTCACTTGCATTAGTTTTTGGTGCCGCAATTGATGGCGCTGTGTTACGTGATAAGTGAGCAATTTCGTCAGTTCACATATGCTACATACAGTCATGTTATGAGAATGCTGTAAGAATAAGATAAACTTT